GCAATAATCTTCGCATTATTGAAATCAAAGTTGTAGCAGGATTAATTTCTCTGCAGGATCAATGCGTTTGATGTATAAGTTTCATTTTGCGTTAATAGTTATTTTATTTTAATTTCTGAAATTTTGACACATACACGTTATCTATTTATCTATCTATCTCAATATATATATATGTGTGTGTGTGTGTTTGTGTGTGTTTGTGTGGGTTACAAAAAATATTAAACGTTTTAAATAATAAAAAATTAAAATTTTCAAACACACTGGGTTGTATATTAATATTTTCTTGTTTTATTATTTCAATTAGTTTAGTTTACTCTACTTGTTTCGGGCAGTATTGCCATCATCAGAAGAAAAAAATCTCTGCTTGTTACTAGCATACAACTACAGAAGTGAATGACTGATTCTGAAGAATTTGAACTTTATCTGTAGTTTTCATTTTTTTTTTAATTTTGATCACACCTTGTGTTGGTCAAACGGCCTTTTTAATTTGTTTTTGAGATAGACGATGGGAGATTCCTGACTAAAAATTCCCTCCTTGGACATTTTGACAGATTTATTGGTTGCTGGGAATTGGATGTGTGTGTTAAGTGTAATTTATATAGAATAGATGCGGTATGAACCGAAGATAGGCTCTGTGGGTGTTGAATAAACACAAAATGTGCCTGGGCAAAAGTCTGCAATAGTGAGTAGCTAGCCGCCCTAGTAGACAGGTATTCTCAAATATGAGTGGCCAACTATTAATGTTTAGGCTGACATCGCAGTTTTTAAACAATTAAAACTATATGTTGATTGTCACTTTCGATTATGTAAACATTTTTGGAAAACAATTATTCGAAAAACTTTTATTCGAATTGTAAAATATTTGAATGAAAATTAATAGAAAGGACAATTATAATAAATGATAATTATTCGAAATGCAAAATTCTTTATTGCAATAAAAATGTAAAAATTAAAAGAGGGAATGCACAAATGATAATTATTCGAAATACAAATATAGTTTAATAAAACAATTTAATGGGAAAAACTCCTTATAACCTTACTTTATATGATACTGCAGGCAAATAGTCAATTACTGAAGATTACTCATTAAAAGATGCCACTATTTCTTTTCCGTATACGTCGCGGTATTTCGTGGCCGTCTTGATATTTTGGCAAATTGTTCTTACTTTTGCATTATGAATTTCTTGTAAGTTCTCTTCTCTTTTAAGAACGTCTAAGAATTTCCATGTTGTCTGATGATGGAATGACATCTGTTATGCTATTCTTTAAGGGCGTTTTTACTTCTAAGTCAATCAGAATTGACTCTAATTATATCAGTAAGTAGAATTGTTCTTTCGACTCATTTTCATTCAAACAATTCAAAAATCGAATAATTGTTTTTCTAATAATTTTTTCCGAACAGTTTTCACGATACGATTAGTTTCATGACACAGTGTGATCTTCAGTAAATGTCAGTATATTGATAATCTCTAGGCAGCGTCCGTGTGTATGTGTTTTAAACAATTAATGTTTTTTCATCCATCTTTATATCCTATTATTATAAATCTTATATTTAGCGGGTACACATGTTCGAGTTGCCAGCCGTGTTACTTTTTCAATAAGTAATCCTACTGAAAATTGGATTAATATATGAACTATTAGTATAAGTAGCGTGGTGTCTTTAGTTTGTAATGTTCTGAACTATTAGGACTAATGAAGATCATCTCAACATTTACAGTTGATGTAACAACAGAGTAGCTAAATTCTCGTAATGTTACACCTGTCGAAAAGAGGGTGTATATTGTCGTGCGTCCCTCTATAAGACTGTCTATATGATACTAAATACTATAAAGGCTAGAAAAAGAGTACTGAGCAGCCCCAGCATAGTATACCCTCTACCCCATATTAAACTAAACTAGGGGGTCCCACTCGTATTTTGTGTCATCGCTCAATTTTCACATGTAAATATTTTTCACCACCCACCTCTCGAGTAAATATTCAAAAGCATAAAGTGATTATGGGTAAATTATGTTTCAACGGCCACTTTTCCAGTCTTCATAATTTCCAGATGGGCAATATGATAGAAAAAGTAAAACAATTTTATATTAAAGAAACATTTGTCTATATTTCTGAGATGAGGTGTTATGTACACTATTTACATTATTCGGAATATTGTCCTTATCTTTGTTGGCATATTTATCACAATGTTTCGGCCATTGTACGCTCAGACCTTCTTCAGGTGGTTGGAATGTTGAACTGAACCCTTTATTTCGCTCGCTGGTGTAGACTGTTCTAGTTCCACGTGCGATGTATAATGGATGTCAGTTATCAATTATCTCCCGTTAATTCCCCTCTCATAGATCCACACCGCCTTAACCGGGTATGGAACTCACACCCCTTGGGTCCTGCCACTGGATCTAACTAACGCCTTTATACACTGTGCCATGTGAGTTCAATACCTGATTAAGGTGGTGGAGAACTTGGAGGGGAGAATTAACAGGAGACAACTGGAGAAACGTTGTGATAAATATGGCAACAGAGATGAGGACATTAGTCCGAATAATGTAAATAGTGTAAACAAAATTATTCTGAAGTACTTTCTAAATATTACTGTAAAAATTTGCACATGGTTT